TTCCCAGACAACTCTAAACATTTCCAGATTTGGGCCGCATATAGTCTCCACCCGTGCTCTGGCAGTGGGCTCGGGTTGGCTGTGTATAATGTAGCCACATGTATGGATGTTATGATCTGTTTCCAGGCTGCTCTTGTGTGAGATACTCAGTGAAGTGAAAAAATGAAATATTTTTACATATATATTTAAGATACTTGGGACTGAACTGAACCCATAGCAGTTCCTATCAATCTTACCAGATTTATTCAGAATGGTTTTTTGTTCTTAAGCTATGTTGCGCCACCTGGTGGCACATCTGTCACAAATACATTGAGATCGTAGCAATGCTTTCATTGTGCTTTTAAATTAATGGTCTTTTATATTATATCTCTTTTTTTCTCTCTCTCTTTTTTTTTTTTCCAGAAAATGCCTGTGCAGGTCACAGGCCTGAAGCCCAAAGAGACTTCGCCTCTTGGCTCTGATAGCCAGACTGAACCTCAAGGTCCCCAGGATCAGGATGTGAGGAAGTTGAAGCAGGAAATTGAAGATAGTGTTGTTCTTGCACACAAGGAATCTGGGGATATAAAAACAGAATTGAAAGAGGAGGAAGAGGAGGCCCCCGCCTGTCTTTACAGTGACTGGACACGAGGGTCGGTGCGACGTGTTACACAGCAGCTGGAGCAAAGAATGAAACAGGAGCATGAGACCCCGCCTCTCTCTTCTTCACCGCCTTCTCTCTCTGGCTGTACCTCCAACTCTCACAGGCGTCCACACAGCATCCATTGTGAAACGTTGTCTACTTCCCACGATGCATCCATTTGCTCACAGGCATCTGCAGTTCACACGGTGCACAAGGATCAGGGAAAGGAGGATGGGAAGTCTGGACCAGCTGAAAGTGAGGACACTCATGCTGCGATTGGGGCCCTTGGGGATAACGAAAAAAGCACAAAAGGACAGAAACTCTGGCCTGCTGAAACTAGATTGCTCTCTACCTCTTCTCCTTTCCACCACTCTCCCCATTCTCCCTTTGCGTCTGTGAACTTCCTGTGTCTGGAGGGCGTCACTGAGCTCGAGTCGGGCACAGACTGGGGTTGTCCCACAGAAGGACCCCACAGTGACATTTTCAAGAGGGAGACGTGGGAGACTTTGTGTGAGCTGGGTGCCTTCCTGCAGCAGGTGAGCATGGCTGGAAAGTGCAAGGCCAGGTGTTTGGGTCAGGCGCAGAAGCGAGGTGGCAGTATCCAGAAGAGGGTACAAGAGGTGGAAGCCAGGATTCGTCAGGCAGGGCTGACCCCTCCATCCATGATGAAGCGCTCAGCCTCCCTGGCTAAACTGGGCTGCTTGGAGCTGCTCGCCAATGACTTGAGTGACTGGGAACTTAGCCGTTCCACCGTAGCTTCACCCTCGGCACAACACCCACTCCATTCAGCCAGCGACGAATCCAAGAAGCAGCGGGTTCACAACTCTCCTTCCTCCACTGTCCAGCAGCCAGAGATCCTTGAGACAACCACTCAGAGGCTTCCTAAAGCTGGAGAAACCTCAGCAGTCTCTGCACCATCAAATCCGAATCCTCACAGTGGAAAGCCTTTAAACTTTGGCCAAGAATCTCTGCACTCGCCTGGGCCAACACTTCTGACAACAAGGCAGCAATACGGAAGGACTCACCCGCTGAGGCGGCTTAAGAAGAGAACTGTTAGCACCCTTTACCACACCATGTAACCCTCAGCAGGTGTGCATCTGTGTACGTGTGCATGAGAGAAAGAGAGAGATAACGTGCCCATCAGAAACGAAAGTCAAGTGCATATTTTGGATTTATTTAGCAAAACAAGCCGACGCCTCTTGCCTTAAGGGATGTGTTTAGTAGTTTCTTTTTTCCCTCTTCTGTAAAAATCCGTGATATGGGAATCTGGTCTCGGCACAGGAAAAGCGGCAAGGCTACGACAGTCCCAGTTAACTGAGACTGAAATAAAACACTTTGAGAAGATAAAACAAAAAAAGAAAAGAAAATGTCATCCAGAGATGTACATGGGTCACATGTTTGAAATGTTAATAATACCCAAGCGTGCACATACTCACTCATCACATCGTTGCTGGTTTCTCCTTTAGTCGACTTGATATTTTTGGCTGTCAAACGTAATGTTAGCTGGAATGTAGCCTCTGTTTCCCCTCTTCTCATGCTTTGACGTCTCTTCAGAAAAATGTGCCATTTATGCTGGAGAAAACGGTCCCTCTTGTATAATCTGGTAACTACGTTGGCAAAAAGAAAGAAAGAAAGAATATAAATAAATAAATCACACCAACACCTGCTTGTCAAACCGGCTGATTTGGTCCTGAACATAAAAGTCGTTGGACGGAGACTCTTCGTCGCGACAGAATAATTCCAGTGAAAGTCAGTCGTGAAGCTCTGACTCTTCCCTCAGTGTAAGCTGCATACGCAGGTTTTCACCAGTTTATCTGAGCATAATGAAAAGAGAAGAGGCCTGCTTTTTGTTTAGTTTGTTTTAACTACACAATACCTCAGTAAGTCAACCAAATCTGACCTGCACAAACATCCGACTCCGGGTTCCTGGAATGTACTTCTCAATCAGAAACACGTTTGACTTCATCACTCAGTAAACTGTCTCTCCTCACACTCCAGATGCCACACAAACTAGAGTTTTGTTTATGTTTAACTGTGTGAGAGAGAGTAGGTCAGGGTGCTGGGGTTTAAAGGCAGAGTGTATATTTGTGAGTTTTTTGGCTATGTTCTCTTTGGGGATGTAAAGGTTGTATATTGTGACTGTTGATATTTTAGGATCTCCCTGTTTTTTGTTTGTTTGTTTTTTAGATCTGGTTTGTGTCTGTGTGAGTGAGACTGTGTAGCACAACTTTACCAAGTGAGCGTGCACTTTTTATTTTATTTTAATGGATCTTTATGTCTTTTGTAAACTTTTTAGGAGCGTGCCTGTGATTGGCAAGTGAAGCTTCTCTGCAGCCTATCAGAAATGTCTGTACAGAGACGTGTGTCATACATGCACTTTACTCCCTTTTTAATTTTAATTGTGGCTTTTTTTTTTAAGTGTTTTGCTACTTTGGGGGAGCATGCTTATGTAGTAGGAACTGTTGGGTATGTGTGTATTGTCTGTGTAAATATTATTTTATATCACGTGCTTTAACTGTGACCATTAAACAATGGAAATTAAGAGTCGGGCTTACTGTGATTCTTTCCCTCACTTTTTCTTAATGAACTAACTAATTTGGCTTCATTCTACATACATTCACAGTAAATGTCAATGTATGTAAAAATGACTCTTCCTGTTTTTCTCTTAGTCAGCTACACTGTTCAGCATTTTTCAGCATTTTTTTTTTTAAATGGCTCATTATCCTGCTGGAAGCAGGAAGATGGGCCATAAATGAATGAACCTGGCAACAGTACAGTAGGTAGGCTGTGGTGTTTAAACGATGCTAAGTTGGTACTAAAGGGTCCAAAGTGTTCCAAGAACATATCCCCCACACTATTACACCAGCAGCCTGAGTCAGTTTTACAAGGCAGGTTGGAACCATACTTCCATGCTGTTTATGCCTCATTCTGAACCTACCATCCAAATGTTGCTGCAGAAATCAAGAAACTCAGACCAGGTGATGTTTTTCTAACATCTAATTTAAGCGACTCTGTGTGATCATTTCCTGTTTCCTTTCCATCTGCTGTTCAGAGATGCTCTTCTGCAGACCTAAAGTATTCTGGGCGTTCTCATTTGATCTTTGACATCAACAAGGCATTGATCACTGGATATTTTGTCTGTTTTTGGATGATTCTCTATAAACTAGAAACGGTTGTGTGGGATAATCCCAGTAGGTCAACAGTTTCTGAAATGCTCAGACTAGTCCGTCTGGCACCAACAACCATGCTTGTCTACATAAATGTATTGAGTTGCTGCCATGTGATCGGCTAATTACATTGCACAAATGAGCAAGGGAAGAAGAGTACCTAACAAAGTCGAAAAAACAGTAACTTAAAGATTTTTTTATGTATACTGACATGTTTGGTATTTACAGTCAGAGGTAAAGTTAATGCATTTTAAATGCATAGCCGTTGGAAAATGACATTTTGGTTTGTTTTGTCATTCTAGGTATTTATTAGTCAAGCATTTTGCTGTTACTGTGAACAAATTTCACACTTTGGCTCCACAGTAAAAAAAAAATAAGAAGGCACAAGCAGGACCTGAAACCAGTAATGTATTCTGGTTACTATCACATACAGATCTTCAGACCTTGAGCACAAATATGATGCCGTGTTAAATTAACGGAGCGCAGGAAAGAAATCATTTCTCTGATGTTCTCTTTTTTTCTTTATGAAAGTCCTGACACCAGGATGCAGAGAATCACAGAAAGATTCTGAGTTGGAATGGATTCTCCCTGCTGATGAAGTCTCGTGACTGAAACAAAGAAAGACAGCCAGAGCCGGATCAGCACGCACTTCAGGTATCCAGGTATGCTGAGAGTGCAATAACACCAGAGAACCAACTTCCCCTTTATCTGTCCTCAGCTACCAACTACTACAACAGGTGTAAAAGGTCAAAGGTCACCTTAATTAATGCTGTGTACCATTAGAGGTGAAAGGAAGGGCTGTGATGAGGGCTGTTTGGTTATCAGGTAATAAAATCTTTTATTAATAAAATAAATAAAGACTATGTCAGTCAAGTTTTATTTGTTTTGAATCAATGGTCAGCCGCAGTGCAATTAAAAACAACCTTCTTTTGGACAATAAGTGCCCAAATAACTTCCCGGGGGTGTTCACAGTGGCTGCCGAACATCCAGAGTTGTCAATAGAAGGATTTTAAAAGCAGCTTTGGAAACCAGCTCAGCTGAGCGGTGTGCTCATTTACCAGTTTAACTCATATTCATCTATCCCAAGCAGTGACCCCGGGAACGCACTCCCCCACTTGTCAAAGGCGCACCTGTTCCAAAATAGACGGCACCCACCCTGCACCCATCCACTCGCACCCTCCCCCTTCTCTCTCTCCTACTCTGCCCCCGGCATCTCCCCTCTGTCTCTCCCTGCCGAAGACCGTAGCACAGTTTTCCAGCTCTCTCCTCACTAAAAGTCCGCACCGACTCCGGGACAGCTGATTGCAGGGAATATAATCCAAAAGGAATAAAGGCAGCAGAGGGAGAGGGTGGAGGAGGAGGAGTAGCAGTCCATTCGACATAAACCGTGACCGTTATCCAGGGAAGTGGGGTCTCCCCAAAACCTGAGGTGAGCCCGTGTTTCTGCATATGTGTGTCGGTGTCTGTGCTGCAGTGGGGCGAGAGGTGCGTCAGCTTCTTTACTGCGCAGCTGGAGAGGAGCGGGCGCGACCTTACATTTGGAAACCCCGAAAACACAGCCGGGACATTGTGACTATGCACTTTTCTGCCTCTGGCAACTGATCTTAAGTCGTGCATGCTGTGGCAGCTGCGGAATACTTTAAGGAGTACTTTGTACATAACTACCCCCACCACCACCACCTCCTCCTGCGCCCCTGCCACTCTCTGTTCCCGTGTTTTATGCGATTTTTCTGCAGGCTGTGCGCCGTGACAGATCAGATTTACAGTCAGCTCATTAGTGATAAAACGACACAGGGTGCGGGACCTTCTTTCTGGAACCATTTGAGATCGCCGGGGAAGAGCGGCCGGCCCGGGTAGGACAGTGCAGTTTGTCATGTCTATATTAGGAAAGTGCCAGTGTCATTCTTTCGCTGTCTGGATTCTCCAGGGCCGTGCCATGCGCGACAGAGCAGACCTATCTCATTAACCTGAGGCGGAATTAATAGCAAGAGGTTTTTCACAGATGCTAAAATCTACTCTTTGCCTCAGTTTTAGTTTGGCTTATATTACATGACAAGACATTGACAGTAGAGCACAGAAATCAGTGTACTTTAAAAAAAAAGAAGCATTAGACCAGGAGAACGTCATTATGTGATCGTTAACAGTCTTTTCTTTTTTTCCCTTTTTTTTGACATCCTATTGTAAAAACTATATAATATGTATAATGAGGTGTTAAATGCTCCACTGTTGGCTTTGCTGAAGTGGTCTCTGGGATGTGACTCTTTCACAGAAGTTCCAGGAGCTTCTTTCCCCTCATAAGTCAACTTTGGGGCAGATTGTGATATATCCTACTGTGAAAGTCAGACAGCATCATTGACAAAGGTTTTATCTGAATAGTGAAAAGTCTAATGCTTAGAGTTTAATGTAATCCTACTAACACACAGAGTCACTGCATTAGTCAGATCTCTTAGGGGCCCCATACAGACCTACTTTTAGACTAGGGCTTTCAGTTTTAGCCTTATGTAAGCCAGTGGAGTCTGCAAGTATGTTAGGTCTGTTTGAATCGGCATATTCTCACAGGAGTTGTGTGACTGAAGTGCTGGGCCGTGACACTGTATCTGTCAAGTTCTCTCCCCCTCCTATCTTTTATCTGTTCTCTGTGTCTTAGTGTTTGTCTTTGATGTTTGGCTGCCACATAGTGTTTGGTGGGACAATCACCTATTAATATCTGCAGTAATGGCAAGGACTGTTACAGAATATCCCCCGTGTTTCGGAGGATTACAGTCCGGTTGGCCTTTTGCCTGCGACAGCCACAGGATAGCAACAAACAGCCTAAGATCAAATTACAGAATTCATCATCATTTACAGGAGAAAAAGTCACAGTGTTTGAAGCAATTAAAATGTTTATTAAGAAACAAGCAACACTGATGTTAGTATTAATCATTGTAGAGCATGATTAGACTATAATGAATCGGTGTCACTTAAAAAGCATGCAAACTCAGTTCAACTAATATAAATAATAAACAAGTCATGAACTTTGTGCGCTGTGGCAAAATAAGTGAGCTCTACTTATTTATGTACTTAATAGACTTTTTTTTTAAAATTAGAAGCTCAGAAATTGTAATGTTGAAAATAATAGTAACCACATACAGCAACAGCACAGTTTTTGTACTAACCACTGTGAGAACTGTCCACACACAGAAATCCATCCATGTTCTTAACTGCGTATCTAGTTCAGAAGTACGCCCTGGACAGGTCACCAGGCAAATACCAATGCTAACACAGAGACAATCATTCACACCTATGACACATTTAGAACCATTAATTACCCTAACACTTATGTCTTTGGACTGTGGGAGAAAGCCAGAGTACCCGGAGAGAAGCCATGAAAGCACAGAGAGAACATGAAAACTCCACTCCAAAAGTTCAAGCTCAGAAACTTCTCACTGTGAGGCGGCAGTCAGAAAATCAAGTTGTCATTTTTTTTTAAAAGAAACAGTGCAGGAAATGTACTGTCAGTAAATGGAAATATGATATTATTAAGTCTGTTAAGTTTGCAGTTTAATGTGAAAGAACCTCAAGCTTACTGCCTAACAGTAATTATGAAAAAGTGAGTGTAATACAAAAAAACTGCTTACACAGCCTACTGTGTCATAGACTGTATAAGCAGGTTATACCAGTCCAGGTTGCCAGTCCATCGCAGGACATGTCAAAGAACAAACTTTTAATCTCGCCATTCTGCACCTGCTTCATGTTGTAAAAAATAATGCTTTATATAACTTTTGACTATCCTGTATTTATGTTTGATCTGCAAATACTTTCAACGAATAAAATAAATACCAAAAAGAGGTTAGTTAGTCATTTTCACCTTTCAAAACAGCAAAAACTGTCTAAACATATTACAGTAGTAATTAAGCATTTAATAAGAAGTTATATAAATACTTAAACCCACAGATTAAAAGCACAGACTGAGGCGTGTGCTTCACTGTAATTAACACATTTCTCTGTTGTTGAAAGTCTCTGTTTATGACACATCATTCCAAAATAAATCCCCTGAAATCATTCATGTACAGACACATTAAACTCCTCAGATAGCTCTACTTTTTCATTCTCTCCTTCCTTTATCTTTATCTAAACTTTCATCGCCGCTCTCTGTGGTCTCTAATTCTTCTTCATTTCTTTCCTTTCTGCCCTCCCCTTTCCTCAGCCATGAGTCGCAGCATCGTGCGGCAGAGCAAGTTTCGTCATGTCTTCGGCCAGGCGGTAAAGGCTGAGCAGGGTTACGATGACATTCGTGTGTCCAAGGTGACATGGGACAGCTCCTTCTGCGCCGTCAATCCAAAGTTCTTGGCAGTCATCGTTGAATCCAGTGGAGGAGGAGCGTTTCTGGTCCTGCCCCTTTCTAAGGTCAGTAAAGGTCAGAGGGTTGGAGGGATTCAAATGTAACACTCAAATATCTGACATGTTTTTAGCTTTTTTGTGCTTGAATCAATTCTCAGTCGACCAGCGTTCCAATAAATCACAATACAAATTAATAGCACCTCATTTGCTTCTCCGTGTGATGTAGAGTGTATTAGAGTGTAAATGAAAGTGTGACTGTAATAAGTTCTGTTCCGGGAAAAAGGATTTCTAGGAACATTGACAGCATGGCTCTACATGCCTCATGCTGATCTGCAGGAGTATCTAAATGACTGACATTAAATCATGTACAGATATTCATGATCTACATTAGATGAACTCTGGCTGATCATCTGGCTCTTTCTTTCTATTTATATCGAGCTATTTATGGTCGTTGAGCTGCTGAGTGGTGTTTGTGTGCGTGTTGCAAGCAGATATACTTTTATTACATGTTTGTCTGTGTTTTAAAAGAGAAACAGCAGACTATTATTGCTCTATAAGAGGAAGAAAAGAAAAAAGAAGGGCATATCTGGGGCTTTTCTGGATGTTGGTGTACGTGAATTGGCATTGTTAAGTGAAGGCACTGCTTAAATGAGTGTGGACACTGTTTTTGATGTGTGTAGTTTTGCCTAAAGTTTAAATACGCAACTTTTACAGCAGGAAATCCAGCCATCCAATAAACAGTATCCTTAAAGAAGAACACTCAGAATTAGACCTTAAAAACAGCAGAAACAGCAAACTACAAACAGCTTATACACTTTGTTTTTGTTTCTCAGTATTGCTGAAGCACAGTGATCAAAGGTGGACTTTCATTCATGAGTATTAGTCTCAGTAAAAGACTGTCTGGTAGTATTTAGCTTTCGCTAGGAGCTGACGTGTTGCTTGTATATGGCAAGGTTTTTGGCAAATCCCTTTGTCCTGTGGTCCAGTAATTATTTTGATTTACACAGAAGAGTCAGTGTTTGATCCTTTGAGACATGCAATTCATAAGAAATCAGCTGCTTTTCTTAGACATGATGCTAACAGTGCAATAGCCTGGTGGCTACACTGAATTAAAGCTGACACCAGAAATGTAGTTAACTTGTGTGAATATTTTACTGGGAGGGTAAAAGTGACCCAGTGATCCTGATATTGGTTAGTGAAATGTGTTGAATTCATTTTCAGGGCTAAGTTGGATAAATATATTTGGATTTGGATTTTATTTCAGCGTGATGTAACATCCACCTTTGATTTACATCTAACGTGGTGAGAGTTCATGCTCGAGCTCAGCGCACTTCACACTGTTGTAATAAGACTGCAGAAATGAAACTGAACTACCCAGCCAATCACTGCCCAGAGTTACAAGAACAAGTTAACATTATCCAGTCTAGAAATATGGGGGGAAAATTTGACTTCGTGTTTTAAGCTTACACAAAGGTTAGTATTTCAGCTCGACTAAAAAAGGTTAAGCGACCGGTTTTTACATTTCTGAGATTTAAGAAGAAAACATAAACAGTATGTGGGTGTAATAAGGTCATACCCGCTGGGATTCTTCAGCATGTCAGAGGTGCTAATTAATGAAAAAGAGCAGCAGGACACAAAGCAATGCAGAGGCTTTTTTGAGGCACTGAGGAATGGACATGATTATTTACTGGAGTTACGGTGAACAGACGCGCTATTAATACACACCAATGTGCTCTCCATCCTCCTCTTCCCCCCACTGAGTCCCCAACAGGCCACATGAAAAACTCCCCTTTCAACGCCTCGTCACTCCGCTATAAATACACCACTCTTGGAGTGTGACTGAGTGTGTGTCAGGACGGAGTTATATCTAAGAGCTGATACACATGTTCACATGAAAGGAACCATGGGAACATTGGGTTGTCTTCAAACATCTGCTTTTGAGACAAGATTCAAAAGGTTCTTCCTGCCACATCTGGTTCACTTAAGATCAGAAATACACGTTTGAGAAAAATATTTGATGGTATTAAATATGTTTTCTCAAACGGTTGCCCATTTCCAATCTATATTAGCTTAAAAGGAGCTCTCCAAATATATCCAACTAAATCTCAGTCATGTACTGTCATCTGAAGAATAAAGTACACCCTATTTCAATTCTATGAGTTTATGTATCAGGAAATAGACCTGAACAAAAATCACTTGGCCCATCACAGCTCTTGATCTCACATATAACATCTACTTATTCTTGAAAACTAAGAGTCTTCCACTGAGGAAGATGGTGAAAATCTGGAGAACAGCTATTAAAACGGACCTCATGGTTATACCCACTATGTCTGAGATCAAGAATGAACTTTTAAGCTAATTATTCCAGGACTGTTTCACATTGAGGGAAAATAGTTGTTTTAATTTTTTAACCTAGCTGTGCTGATGTCTGACTGGGCTTAAGGCTGTTATTTTGACCTTTTTTAAAGAAATGAATGAATATTGATTATTAATGGTGACCCGTTATACAAACACAGTCCTAACTCAGTCCTCTGTGTTGCAGACAGGTCGTGTGGATAAGAACTACCCGCTGGTGATTGGTCACTCTGGACCCGTCCTGGATATCGATTGGTGCCCTCATGATGACAATATCCTGGCCAGCTGTTCGGAGGACTGCACTGCAATGGTAATCTGTGTGTGTGTGCGTGTGTGTGTGTGTGTGGGAGAGACAAGTTGCAGATGCATGTGGAGGAGTTTGTTATTCAGTGACTCAGATATCAGTCATAGAGGTCTTCACAGCTTGAGTTTGTCACGTCTTCCTGCTTCTTAAGTGAACAACAAGTTAAGAGAACCAGTCTACGCGTCAGTGTGTCTACCTGTCTCCGTCTCCACCCACCTGCTCTGCGTCATCTCTATCTCTCCATCAGGCCACGCATGATATTTTGTAAGGCTGATCAAAGCATTCTGCCTGTGACCGGCTTCCTTGCTGTAATGCATCTACAAACCTGTGGCGTCCACAATATGACAGCTTCCTCATGACCTGTTTCCCTGCTTGTTGTCAAGTATATCGGGCAAAAATCTCTCGTCAAACATGCAGGAAATAAGGAGACGTGAGCAAGAAATATGGAAAATAGTTAAAGTATCAGTATCTGTGATCATGTCCTGCTCCACCTGGTGCTGATCACCTCACATCAGCAGGAATGGGATTTTAATGTGTTAAAATCACGTCACCTTACAGATTATGTGGCTTACCTTTTCCATATTGTTTAGCAGCTGGGGCTTTGTAAACACACTTTGCAGTCTCATCTTACATTATTGTTGTTGCTGAGTTTTGGATGGCAGACGGAAACCAGAAGAGTTTTAGAGGTGTTTGTGATACACTGCAGATGTCTCATGACTGAGTTCAGTCAGCAGGGGTCACTGTGAGGTCTTTATATTTCTGTGCCAGATACTTGCCTGTTATGAAAGTACTTGATGTGAAACTAAACAAGGTTATACATCCTTTAAACCCATTATAGCAGCTGTTGTTTTTTTTTTTAACATTTTATAATCCATGACATTTTGTGTGTCCCAGCTAATTTTACTATTCAGCATTCCTGCACGGTTTCAAATTTCTTCTAAGACTGTGTTAAAATAAATAATGCATATTTGTGGTCCTTGTTCTGGAGTTCTAGATATAAACAGGCTTCAGCTCTTCAGATAAGACTAGTTAATGTCTGGATAATTCCCTGGACCACAGTGTTTCCTGGCCGAGCTGCAGTCAGACAAAGTGTTAAACTGTTATTTCTGGGACAAAATCCACACTAGTAAAAGGCTGTAATTACTTACAGTATGCGAAGAGCTGTAAGCTGCTCTAAAAGCACGAGATGAGAACCGGGTTAAGTGTTCACAGTGTGATGAGCTGCTCCACTGATGCAAAAATGACACTCCAAAGATAATTTCTGGGTGATCTTGATTTGGACAGCAGATAGGAAATATTTCCGGCCTTGATATGGAAATCTATTTGAGCTCACAAAAATTCCCTCAAGGCAACATCATCTGATGTCTTCTTTTATCCAATCCACAATCAAACAAATATATTTCAGGTTTAAGATACATAAATTAGAGGAAACCCTCATACTGCAGGTGTGAGACCAAGTCATTTTTTACTTACTTGATTTTCTAAATGGTGTATATTCACTGCATTAACAAACAAAGTACGGTGGTTAGCACTGTTGCCGCACAGCAAGAAGGGCTTTCCGGGGTCTTTCTGTGTGGAGTTTGCATGTTCTTCCCGTGTTTGCATGCGTTCCCTCCAGGTACTCTGGCTTCCTCCCACCATCCAAAGACATTCAGTTTGTGGGGATAGGTTAACTGATTAATCCAAATTGCCCATAGGTGTGAATGGTTGTCTGTCTCTGTGTGTTAGCCCTGCGACAGACTGGCGACCTGTCCAGGGTGTACCCGCCTCTTGCCCTATGACAGCTGGGCTCCAGCACCCCATGTTAACACACACCGATTGCTCCAAACTTCCGCTTTTTAGAGGCGTTCACACTTGCTGATCACCGAGTGCATTTGATAAGCACTGCCTGGATGCTACTTACCCTCCTAATTCCTATGGCTGAAGTAGTTTGAGGTAGAATAAAACATATAAACTATGTATTTAGATAATATATATTGTACATTAGTTATACATGTGCCCTTTGTACTTTTTTTCTGGATTGTATAATGACAACATGTCTCAGCATGTGTGCACCAGCACAGTTGTCACGGAGGCCAAAAGTCACCCACTTGTTCATAGTGACATTGCAGGAATCTTTGCGCGATCGAGTGATTGAATCGTGGCTTCTCTTGTGGCAGCAGCTGCTCCGATGCTGTTTGAGTGCCGTGTGTTTGCCTTTGTGAGCTCTGTTTGTGTCCGGCACTCAGACAGACGTGTGCAGCTGCTGTGAGCTGTGATGTCATTCCGTCAAGTTCACAGAGACTCGTCATTGTGTCATCTCGCAGGCTCGTTTGAGTCGTGAGTATGGGTCTGTGTTTGTGCGCGACTTCTTGAACATATGTGCCTTAAACAGCTGTGTGTTGTAACTGTAAAGACCCTGTTCCAACAAACTGAATATGTACTGAGAATAATGTATTGTGTGTTATAATGTCCATTGACATGAGCAGCTGCTTTTAAATAAAGCAGATGAATTGAGAATTGAAGTTTTTGTGACTCAGTAGCCCAGTAGTGAGAGTTTTAGCCACGTTTGGGCTTGATAAAATAATGCTTTACGTATTGATTATGGATATGTTTATGGTTTAAACAGCCACTACCTCAGTATTGTATTTAGATCAGCTCAGCAAGTGAGAGATTTTTGGCACTGGAACCTTTCTGAATGTTTCATCCCACTACTTTTGATCAGTTATGTTTGAGCAGGCTTTGGTTGAGTGCAACTAAATAGCCCATGTGAACAGACACGGACCAATGCAATATCTACCAACAGATAAAGTCTGGCAGCAGTTCAGCTTTTTATAGATAATCTGAATTATCTTCTAACAAATAGCAGCAGGTAAAGCACAAACAGTTTCATTAAGGGAAACCCTTTCCGATTATCTGCACAGTCGTCAGTGTACTGGAGCTGCACACAGGTGTAAGCTTTAATAGATGGCTGTGAGGCAACATAAATATAACTCTGTAATAACAGTCAGTAGAGTTATGGTTCAATTAAAATGAGTGAGCTCCACAATAAATCTGTGGCAGTGAATTTAATATCAAAAATTCTGTCATGTGTAAGTGAAAAGAAGAGAAACAAAGCAGAAAGGCTCCGATATTACACGTAATGCCAGATGTTATTGATTCTCTATTGCAGGATAATTTTCTTTATTTTAGTTTAGTTTAGTTTAGTTTATTAGTGTTGTGATGCAGACATCTTCCTCCTGAGATGCAGACAGAAATTTATTTTATTCTACTGATGTCAAATTTTGAATGACTTCTAATAATATTTTTGGACAACTCATCACATTGCTGTGTCTGTGTCGTCTCCAGGTGTGGCAAATTCCAGATCACGCTTTGACCCGCCCCCTGTCGGACCCGGTGGTGGTCTTGGAGGGACACTCCAAACGAGTCGGCATTGTCAGCTGGCACCCCACCGCACGCAACATACTACTCACTGCAGGCAGGACACAGAAACACACAAACTTCCAGTGTCCTCTTATGTTTTCATGACATCCTTCATATGTTTTTTTGGACCCCCTATGTGACAGTAAATTAGAACAAAACAGTCATGAACAGGATCTTGAATAGGATATCTATCTGTGTTTCGACTCCATCACCCTCCAGGCAGTGACAACCTGATAATTATCTGGAACGTGGGGACAGGTGAACCCCTCATCTCCATGGACGACCATCCAGACCTCATCTACAGCGTCAGCTGGAACCGTAACGGCAGCTTGTTTTGCACCACCTGTAAGGATCGACGTCTGCGTGTCTGTGATCCCCGCAAAAGAGAAGTGGTGGCGGTGCGTGAGTAGAAATTACAGATGGCTCGTCATGGCAAAAAGGCTTTCCCACCGCTTTGGAGGAATTTTGGCTCATTTGTTTTTGCATAATTGTTTTAATTCACCCACATTGGAGGGGCTGAATAGCCTGTTTAAGCTCATGTGAAAGCACAGCAAGTTGTTGAGGTCCCGAAGCAGCAAAGCAGCCCCAGACCATCGCACTACCACCACCGTGTTTGACTGTTGGTGTTAGTGTTCTTTTCATCAAAGGCTGTGTTAGTTTCATGTATTTTTAAGTGAGACAAATATGCAAAAAACTAAGAAATCATGTAAAAAGTATACTGTTTCACAGTATAAACTAATATAATGCAGAAGCTGTCTCAAAATATATTATTGGTATATATTATTATAAATAATTAGCACAATTATTCTGGTGACTATATTTTTATTTTTCTTATTGTTCAAGAATATATTAGCTCCTTAGAATTACTTGACTTCAGGAAACTGAAACACAAACTTTCATTAAACAGGCACAGAGAAAGAAAATAAGGATTTAACTTGAAATCTTTAGCTCTTACATCATTGTAATTATGTTACTAATGTCTGTTTCTCTGCTGACCAACAGGAACGTCTGGCTCCACATGAGGGCATCAGGCCAATGAGAGCAATCTTCACCAGAGATGGAAACATCTTCACTACAGGATTCACCAGGATGAGTCAGAGAGAGCTCGGCCTCTGGGACCCGGTAACAAATGACTACATTTCACAGAGTGGCTGTAAAAATATGTTCACACACTATAATATGAATCTACACAGAAACCTGTCAGTTTTCCTCACAGCTTGTTATTGTCCACAGACAAATTTTGAGGAACCTATTGCACTTTTGGAGTTGGACACAAGTAATGGAGTATTGTTACCTTATTACGATCCAGATGCAAATATGGTCTACCTCTGTGGAAAGGTACAGACATATAACTTTGACTTATTTTTGCACTTAATTGTAGATGTATTATCAGCCTTAATGCTAACACAGTCACACTTGTTTTTACACTTGTTCATGTGTGTGTGTTTAGGGGGACAGCAGTGTCCGGTACTTTGAAATCACAGAGGAACCACCGTATGTTCACTACCTCAACACCTTCAGCAGCAAGGAGCCCCAGAGAGGGATGGGCTTCATGCCCAAAAGAGGTGTTGATGTCAGCAAATGTGAGATTGCCAGGTAAGATGCTGATCTTGCAATGATTTCAACTTGAGTGCAACTTAACCGTGTAAGAAGGTGAATGAGCCAGCTGTGGTTCAGCTGGAGGTTGACTGGGTTGTATCCTTGAGCAAGATACTAGCCTAAAGTTACCCCTAATGCATCCACTGGAGTGTCAGTGTCATCATGAGGTCAACACACTTAGGTATATAAAAACAAAACTAAATTCTTTTAGGAATTGTATTTAAAAGTGCCTTAAGTGCTCAGGTAGACTAGAAAATAACTGTATAAGTACCAGATCACTATAAAGTTTGCTATAAATGTTTTAGCTTCTCCAGCGTCCCTACAGTTGCTGCTGTCTCTGCAAACTGCTTTGCAACCCACCTCCATCTCAGCTTCTCCTTTTTATGCCTTTTTACTTTGTCTTTAGTATTTTGGTAATGCCTGCGCTTGTGTGCTCGCAGATTGAAATAGTAATCTTTGGTCCTGTCTGAAATCTAGTTTTTGAAAATCAAAATTGTCACACGACTATATTTGGGCATATCTGCAGCAGCGATTCACAGCACTTTTCATGTTTTAGTGATTCCACTGATTTAATGGATGTGTTGCCATTTTAGCCTTCAGATAAATGAAACAAATATGCAGTAGTTATTACATCAGTTATTATTGCAGACAATTTGGTCCATTCATTTTCTACTTAGCGCAAGTGTTCATATTTGAAATTTCCATTTTGTTCACCTTAAAAGCGTCACCACTGAATGCTTTGTATTCTCTAAACACTGCTAAATGCTCATGAACCATAAACTCTCTGACATGGACATTTCTAAATATCAGAAATGATAGTTTATGTCTTTGCAGAAAGCTGCAAAAGTAGTCCTTTTTCCATATAGTTCTCATATAAATCTCCATATGTGATAAACAATTATGTGACTTACTGATTGCAGGTGAGATTGATTATTCAGTTCTTATAGACAGACATTTAAAAATACGTACAACGACAACTGTGATAACTTGTGGCCGTGTCCTCTTTTCTCATCTTATCAGGTTGTATAAGCTGCTTGACAAGAAATGTGAGCCCATCACAATGACAGTGCCCAGAAAAGTAAGCCTGACTCACCCTCCCATTATGGTCTTCATGCTCTGCTGTGTTTGACTTTGACAATGTTGCAAGATGAAGATATCAGTCTTATACTTTAACAAAACAGAAATCCTGGACTTTTCACTCCACACTTATATCTGGCTACTTAAAACTCAAACACGAATCAACCTTTGTCGCTGCAGTTTCATTTGAATACAATTCAGCTGAATAGAAAACCATTAATGTTTACATCCTGCCACAAGCACCTTGTGAGGCTTCCTTCTGCACAGTGATTGGTTCTTAGCTGTAGTTTAGTGCAACGAAAGGCTTCTTCGACACACTGTTCCCAGTGTTTGTGGATTGTTTCTGATGCTATCCAGTGGAGGACAAATACACATGTTTGGTATTAGGGATGAACTTGCAGCTTTACTTTTTACTTCACACAAATGTCTCTGTTGTCCCCTTGATCTTCCCTGTTGCACAGTCGGACCTCTTTCAAGATGATCTGTACCCAGACACAGCAGGACCCGAGCCCGCCATGGAACCCGAGGAGTGGCTTGATGGCCGAGATGAAGATCCCATCCTGGTGTCCATGAGGCAGGGCTACATGCCGCCGAAGAGCAGAGAGCTCAAAGTGGTGAAGAAGAACGTCCTGGACTCCAGACCCACCACCCGACGCAGCATGTCCACTTTGGACACCAACAGCCTGCCGGTAAGCCCACTTCCTGCACCTCGTGCACCTCCTGCACATGAACTACTTTTCAACATTAATTTAGCAGTATAAGATGACTCCTCTCTACTAATCTGCATTCACATTATAGGCTCCCAAAACCTGGATGTATTTTTATACATTGATATCTTATGTATAACCATGTACAGCACAGTTGAATGATTTCTTAGTCCTGTAATCTGACTGGTGGTAAAAAAGAAAGAAAGAAAGAAAACAACAACAATAATAACAATAATGTTTTAACCCTTTTCTGTTTTCTTTTCTCTTGTAATTCCATCTGCCCACAACCTTTTTTGTTCAAAGCTTTCACCTGTTTTCATTGATTTCCTCTAGTCCTAGTCATCTTCCTTAACCTATTCTTCAAACATTTTCCTTAATTTCACCTTCTTATCACAGTCTTTTTTCCTTTCTGTTTCCCTTTTATCCTTCTGCACACTTGTCTCCCCTCTTGTCCTGTCCAGCCTCAGCTGCTTGAGAGGTTACTGGAAGAGATTCAGAATCTGAAGGCCACAGTGTTGTCTCAGGAGAAGAGAATCTGTGACCTGGAGAATAAGCTTTCCCAGTACACCAATGGCAGTGCCTGATGTGCATGTAAACATGGTCTGAAGAACTGGTCTGAATATTATTGACGAGGATTCACTCTTGTGAATGCTTATGAATGTGTACAAGTGACCATTTGACAGTTTTGAGGAAATTGCATCTGTACCCCTTTCGATGGTTGATTATATAAAATCTTTATCCCGGTTTTACCTTTCATTCTACTGCAGGATATTTTTTGGCATAGTCACAATTTTACAGCGAAAAGGACGGAGGTGAGGTTTGTGTGAAGGCACTGTAAGTTTGAGAGTGTAAGTTGGGTTAAAGGGATAAAAAAAAGGTTTCTATTAGAGAAAAAAAAATGCAAGCGCAAGACTTTTATAATTTGCTTCTATAAAAAATACAGGCCCGCTTCAAACCTGCCCACACATCCTCCCACTGCATGTGGAGTCACGCTTATAGCTTTGGAAGGTCTCGAAGTTAAGAAGAAACATTAACAGAGACATTTCCCCTCAAATCAGGATCTGGATTGATTAATACAGTCATCACATAGAGTGAATTAAGATCATTCCTCAGCTGGTTTAAGCTGCCTGTTCTGATTCAGCTGCAGAAATTAAAACAACCTTTCTTAACACTTTTTTTGGTTTTACTTAGACATCTGTGAAAATAACTCAAAACTGACAACAACAACAACAAAAAAAATTTGAAATTTTAAGTTAGCAAGTCAAATATCTTAATAATATAATAACCCCAATTCTTGACTAACACATGGCAAAAAAGGTGTTTGTTTTTTTCAATTTTAAGAAAAAAAACAGCAGCAGAAACAGGCTTCCATACTTTCTAGGTTTAAAAAAAAAATCATCTTTATAACAGAAATACTAATAAAGTTTATATACAAAGCATTTTTTGAGGCCAAAGTGTTTTTCAGGAAGCTTCAGATAAGTCAGGAAAAAAGTTAAAAACATGAAAAGCACAAATAAACATTACTTTAGAAGATCCTTTTTTGAAGCTCGAATTCACGTTCATTCTTTTATTTGTGTTTGCTGTGCTACGCACATGCTAAGACCATCACATGCCGTATTACAGAGCTAGTTCATGTCAAACGACAGAACTCATAGTATTTATGGGGATTTGTTTCCTGTTTCCTACACAAAACACGTGCTGACCTGTGATCGTTGTGCACTCATGTCGAGGGCCTCGTGACCTCACCAAAACTAAATCAGTTTAGAAAGTTAATGCAGGAGACCCTCGAAGCGGCGTGAGAGTGTGCACGGACTGGCTTGGAATCGGGATGCTGCAGTGGACATGCTTGCACCATCACTAAACACTCACAAAAAGCCACACAAACAAACAAGGACACATTTCAGCATTTCAACCCCCTGTGTCGCAGATGACCAGTTTATTTAAATAATGCTCAGAAAAATTTTCAATATGTAAATAGTGATAAAAGGAAACGGGAGAAGAAAATGTAGCAAAATGTGAAAAGAGAAACGTTTTGTTGTGTAAAGGTTATACATTAGACACATTATGACAACAATAAAAAGTGTTTTTTTTTTACTGCTTGACTTGTTCATTTCTTGTTGCCCCATTTCCACCATTAACATTTTTTAACATTTCCATCCAAAGAGCTTCCAAAACACCTGTTTTTACCTTTTTTTTTAAACTCTTACAAACTGTGAAAATGTGGAAACTGAGCAGTACAAATCAGAGCATGATAAATTAAGAAGATCATTAGCTTCATAACAGACAGACAGAATTAAATACGTCAAGTTTCAATCAAAAATCAGTTCCCATATTAGCTGAGAAATCAGTGGTTTAAGATATGAAGCTGTATGTATGATCAAAATCCCCCCAAAAAGACATAACATGGATGAATAATGTTTTTATGCGTAATTATGGAAATATATACAGTACTGTAAACTTCTTGAGCCACTGCCTCATTTCATGATATTTTGCTATGAAAATGAACTATGTGTCAACATAACACAGCCTGAGCTGGTAAAATGGTAAATGGCATGTATTTGTATAGCACTTTACTAGTCCCTAAGGACTCTCTTAGGCAGGCTTTCTGCTAATTCCTTTAAGTAGTCTTCAGGAACAGTTCTGCAGACTTCTGGAAAGACATTCAACGCTCTTCTTTGGATGTTGGCTGCCTTTTGTTCCGTTTTCTGCGAACAGGATCCCAAAATGCTTCAATAATGTTCAGGTCTGGTCTCTAGGGAGGCCAATCCATGATTGATGTCTTTTTCTGTTGTGTTATTCTTTCCATCTCAGTTAATTCTCGTAGCTCAACTTGCTGGTGCACAACTTGACAAACTGTAATATCTCTGGCATTTTTTTTTTTTGTAGATTTGGCTAAAAAAGTGAGATCAAATTCCGTGTTTTTGCAAAAGGTTGTGTTGTAATGAAGGGTTCTAAATTCTTTGATAGGATGTCTGCTTTGAGTTAGCTGCCTTTCTTATGTTTCATTGACTCATAGGTCAGTGTAAACTGACCAGAAAGAACATTACTCTGAAAATGATCAGGTACATGGACTGGACTGAAAAAGAGTGAAAAGGCACCCAATGTCCGAAGAAAAAATTCAGAACATCTGGAGAACTATTGATCAGGACTACTTGATACAAGTGAAATAGAAGAAAGTAAGCAAATTTTAAAGAAATTAGGGGTGGCATATTGGTTGTGCATAGTGCTGTAATATATTACAAGGCATCAGTTTCTGTAAGTGCCTGCATACCACAGTAGCCAATATACTAGTAGTTAAATGTCAAAATAGAACTGATATAACTTATACATATATATTGACATATATAAATTATAGTTGTACCACACTGACATGAAGTCATTGGATGCCCATTTTTGTCAGAATGTGGAGTCCCACAATCACAATGCTGAGACAAAATAAGGGCGACCAAGTGAGCTTTGTGGCTTCAGAGACAGGAGATGTTGAACCTTGCCTTCCACTGTAGGAACAGGTGGCTACATTACCCACGCGATCCACAACCTCTATCTCCATGTCAGGTGAACAGCAGGATGCACTGTAGTACACCAGTGTTATGTTCTTATTGCTTGAATCCAGGGTGGTGTTTATGGTCCCGTTTCCTTGCTTGAGGGTGACAAGATCAACGCCCGTCCCGTCAGCTCCATCAGTCACCCGGCTAGAGACCTCCCACATCCATAAGCTGCAGTTAACAGAGCAGTTGGTCTGCAGGCTGACCTGCTCACACACTGGTGCCTTGAAATCGGTCACCTATAAGGGGAAGGAAATGCATGAAGTCAGCAAAACGCCTGAATCTAAAGGAACTGCAACTTCCTCAATATTTGCTCAATAGAAATGTGTTTCTTTGTTACTTATGATTGGCTTAAAGTGATTTTAGTGGGTGCACAGCAGGTTAGCTAAGCATAAAAAAACTCCAGGCCTGTAGTTTAACGAACAGAGATGATAAAATTTATTAAAATTTACTTTTTTTTCCCCAACAATTCTTTTTATTAATGATTTTTCATGAAATACCTAAAAAGCTTAAAACAAAAAGTTTTCAGTTATAGTATTACCGTGTTAAGAACGGAGAAGCGCAACACAATGTAGTTACTGTCTGTGCCCCCAGGAGCCTCGGCCTCAATGGCCAGGGTGACATCAGTTCCAGATGGGGTATTCAGAGGTGCTGAGAGGGTCACTGTGCCATTACCAGTGATTCCAGGCTCCAGGAACATACTGGTTGGAAATGTAGAGTCGAACCCTCTGCTGTTGGTGGATCGAACTGTGAAGTTTCCACCTGTTCCACTCGTCATCAGAGTGAAGGGCACAGAAAATAGCGTTCCGGGTACTATGATGGTCTCTGGATTAGCCTTCAAAAAGAGAGAGTACATTTATAGAGATACTTATTTGAGCTGCTGCATGTTTTTCCATGTTTGATTTGATGCTTTTGTGTCACAAAACAAGTCGTGGATTGCAGCTCACATTTATCGTCAGATTTGATGATCTGAAGTTGGTTGGTGACTGTCTCTGGAAGAGTATTAAAGCCTTGGAGGTGAAACTATCAGCTTGTCCCTTCACCTGCACCACAAAGTCCTCTGATGGAAACTTGTCAACCAGAACCAAGATGCTTGCATTGCTCTGCGGCACCAAGACTCCTTTAATCACCTCTGACCCAGATGATCCAACCAGAGTGACTTCTGTCACCGTGGCAGTGTCACTCCCCGTTAAAGACATCAACAGGCTACCATTGCCACCTTTCAAGAAAAAGTCAATTCATTATGTCTAATGTTTTAATCTGCAGATCACCAAGTCTTAACAGTTGCCTTTACCAGCACTGGGACGTGTTGCCAGGGCATCAAATCCTCCAAAAGGGCCCTGTGACACCACCACTAAGTCAAAGAAGAAGTCGATAGGACTCTGACCTAAAAATGATGAGGGGGTAAAAAAAAAAAAAAAGAAAGAAAAAAGTCAAATATATGGAGGGCCTGGAGACTAATGGCAATGGAAATAATGCATTTCATGAAATGATAATTCTGAATATGACAAATACTTACAAATAACGTAATATCTAAATAAATTCTAACTATTATATGATTAAAATAAAACTAAAGACTTTTTTTATTCTAAATGATATATAAATCCATAAAAAAGAGGTTCAAATAGGATGGGTTTATGGAAAAACTAAATACTAACAATAATAAAGAGTTTGAATTAAAACTTCAAAAAACCTTTTTAATAATTTAAAAATGAAATCTAAAGCATACTGAATAGATTCAAGAACCAGGAATTAAGAATACAGAATTTTGTTTTTATTCAGACATTTAAAAATATAGTTCCTTTTCCTCTTTTTATTTCCACTTCCTGTTGGTGTTTGAATATGTTGAGTCATTAGCGTTTCCATTTAGCCTTTAAGACAAGGAAAATAAATCCTCACAGACTACTTACATTTTTCTAGGCTGCCCAAAGACCTGTGCTGCCAAGGAAACTTTTTAAATAAGTGTGAGATCTTTCATGAGGCTATTTTGCCTTCATATTCACTCTCTCAACATCTCTGGTAAAGAATTTTAAGGAACACAGCAGTGAAATGGATCCTCACAGGGTATCCACTGGTGGAGAGATGCATCTTCTGCTCTTCGCCCGATAATGTGTTAAAGCTAACATTGCTAACATTGCTAACGCTAGCAGCCCTTCATGCTCCACTAATCTAGTAGCAACATACAAAACTTACAGAAATTTGGACTCTAAGCCATGAGATTATTTTAGTTTTGGAAAGACTTTTAAGCTTGTAAGCTTAAAGTTTAGCTTGTAAAATAATCTAATATTTTTTCTGAAATACTTATTTTTATACATCAACTGGTAAAACAATATTAATTTAGCATAGAATAAACCAATTACAGCAGAACATTAACATGCTAAATTTAAAGCTTGGTAGTGTAGTTACATTAGTATCTTAAGTTAGCTTATATAACAGCCGGGCAGCACGATGGTACTGTGGCCACCTCATAGCAGACGGTTCTAGGTTTGAACCATTGGTAAAGGAGTCTTCATCCATATACATGGATGGAAATTAGCACCAGGCGAATGTCTGTGCTTGAATGTAGCAGTTTTCCTACTGTAAAAGTGTAATCTTTTGACCTATACAACACATGGACCACTGGAATTTCATTGTCATTGCCAGTACTTTGTTTTATGTGAAATCAAAAAGCCCTTAAAGAAGTTTTTAAATAATAGAATTGGCTTAGTTCTAGTGAATCAACAGCAAAACCATTTCTGGTTTTCTGTTGTTCAAATATACATACAATAGATTCTCTGCATTGCTCTACTCTGGCTGATAAAATCTAAGTATTTTAGATTTTTTTGCTTTCATTCATCAACAAAATATGAGATACATGAAGATGCCATGTTACTGACATGCTAACTGTAATAATGCAGGTATGTCTAACCTGTATTGTTACTGTGAGCATTCCCTGCACATGTGCTACCATCATAGCAAGTGTGCTAGAAATGTTCACCATCTCCTAGGATATAGCATTTTTTAAAATAAATAAATAAAAAATATTGCTATTTATTAGTCAAATAACAAACTAAATTCATATTTTTACACAAAACACAGCTACAGGATGTGGACACTAATAACAGTGCAATTATAGTTTGGAAACAAAGGGAGGAATGTTCACTTTTAACAACGTTTCCACTCAGGTGAGAGGTAACTGAACCAAACTCGGCTCAGACAGGACAGGACATGCCAATCATATTTTAAGAGATCCTTTTAGGTGTTGTCATAGCTCACCCGGTTGAGCCAGTTACTTATGATACAGAAGATGATGCAAGTGTTTGGTTTTAGGCCCATCTAAAACTGCTTGCATGCTATCCCCCTACCTTTCTGCTTTCCTATCTACAACACCTGACATCAAATAGATGCAAACTCTATTCGTTTTTATTAAAACTTTGTTGTAATGGTAATTTAGTACACCCATTCTGACCCCTTATTAGTTCATTCAAACCTATACCTCAAGGCCCCAGGGATAAGAAACAAAAGTATCGACTGACAGTCTCACCTATGACCTTCAGAGTGTAGGGGTTA